TATTGATTCCCATCTATGATGACTCATGACTTGAAATGTTACCAGTGACAGTTTTTTGTCAGTTTAGTTCGTATATAGAGTCTGTATGATCAATTTGCATGATTTTGCTTTGCTGTTTTAAGTGTTATTAATATGTGAGGCCATGGCCAACCAGACAGAAGTCTGAGATTGTTAATGAATGATGGAGGTGTTCACCTGTTGGTCATCACTTTAAATCATGAATAGCTCAACTGGAATTTAGTAGTTGTTTCTACAAAATGGATATTTAGGAGCTCCTACTCAAAATCAGTGAGTCCTATATCTTGCTTTCATGTAACAAATTCATTAGCATGGTTTCTGTTAGATTGTGACCTCCTAGGATGCAGTCTGGCTTTGTTATGTTTATATGTACATAAATACCTTTTCAATGATGAAGTTGATTAGGCCCATAAAGCAAGAATTAAATTTTTTTCTCACTTGTTTAATTGCAGCTGCAGTAGACAAGGGGATGCAGTGAAGTAAATACAAATATTAAGGATGACCCTTTGTTGTTTTGCATTCTGCATTATTTTTTCAAAAAGACTTTGAAGTTGCCAACACTGTAGTGTGAAAATTTAAGAAAAAAACATTAAAAACATGTTAGTCAAGTGCATTTTCTGTGTCACCTCTTTGTTGGGATATTCTTGTATTCATTTGTACAACAGTTATTTGTTTTTCTGAATGTAAAAATAATTTAAAAGCCAGAATAAAGCCCAGCTGTCTGTGGGATTCTTGTCCAAAATAATCTTTAATTTCACTTCTCATTCTTCTCAGCAGCTTCTTAGCCAAAAAGGCACCTAAAATAGATTCACCTTGTCTTAACTTTCAGGTTTTTTAGGAAGCTATGGTTCTTGTTTTACTATGTCTTGAAGAGTTGAACACCAAAACATATTTCAGTGGCTGAGAATTTTGAGACCCAGCATAACTTACGTATGCTTCCAGCAGCATGCACTTCAATACACTACAAAATAGCCAGAACTGTTTTGATTCAGAAATGTGACCATGCTGTAGAGCACTTGGGTAAGGAGTAAGAATTGTGGGGTCCAGGCTGTTCTCAGTTTGATCTCCTTACTCTTAGAATAATGTCCTAATCACCAGATTAACAGAGTTGTCTTTAAATTTGAATTGCTTTACTACAAAGAAGGCAGGATATTTGGGCTCATAACACATGAGTTTTTCTGATGGGCTTCATTGAGGCTGCAGGATGTTCTGCTGAGTTACCAAATGTTTGGGTGTATTTTCTGTTTTGCAGTGTACGAGAGTTTTCAGTCTAGCAAAATTTTTCCACTTATAGAAATAAATGGTTGTCACTTCTGTAATTATGGGGAAGCAGTAGTTAATGCTTGCTTTGTCCAACACATTGTGGCTAACTGCAGTTCACAGCTATGAAAGTGTTTGCATGTTGCTTTATTCTTATTTAGTCTATCATGGAGAACTTTGAATTGTTCATTTGTAAATGCTCAGTACATTAATAAATGATGGTGTTAACTATCTTTTCAGCATAAAACACAGATAATAGAGTCCTTTCATGTGCATTTGAGTGAATATTTTACATTTTATTTTTTTCTTTACTAGGAAAATGTTCTCTGTAGGATTTAATTTTTTTACCAAAAACTACTAGCTAGAAGCTAATTTTGAAGCATCAGGAGTCAGATGATAACAAAATAGGGTAAAAGGCAACAAATATAATTGCTTGTCTGCTGTTTATAGATTATCTAAAGAGCAGCCCTGAAGTTGACACTCAGTTTCTGAGTGGCAGCTATGAATTTGACAATTATCTTGTCCATTTCTGAAAACTGTAAGCATCAGCAACTGTTGGCACACTCAGGAAAATGGTATTGCCTGGTTTATCTGTTTCCCTTTTTAAAGATTATCACCACCTCTGCTGTGTCTGAAAATTGTTCTTAGTAAAAACTTCAGTTTTTCTAAAATTTGTGTCTTCGAAAGTCAGTTTTTCACTCAGCAATATTTTTTCCTCATCCAAGTTATTTCATATTTAACGTTCAGTCATGACTACAGAATACAACTGAATGTTACAAGGAGTGATTTGAGTAACCTTTGCTTGGATTATAAAATCTGAATAATCGCTACAACTACACCCATAAAACAATGAACTTTCATAAAAGATAAATTAAATAGAAGGAAAATGGGCATCTCAAGCACAGCATGAATGTGGAGAGACCTTTTCCTTCCCAGGTATGTCAGCTGGGTTATAATTGGCTCTAATTAGCACACTGTATTCAACTGTTAAAATTCTTTACCTTGAAGCTCAATGACACTCGAAGATGTGAAATTTCTTCCTACCTTTGGAAACATCAGAGAAAGTGCTTCCAATCTAGCTTTTACAACTGAAAGTTCAGTGATCAGTGCACAAAAGGGGCAAATACATCAACAGGCATAAAGAATATTGGTCTCTGGCTGGAAGAACTCTTAAAGAGTTAATTGGTCTAACCATATTTCATTGTCTATAATTAAAAATATATCTACATATATCAATACCAAATGCCAGTTATACTTTCAGCAATATGTAAGAAAAACGATGGAGTTAAATAAATGTGATCAGAATCAATTTGAAGATTTCTTAGTTACCCATTCAGTTGTGTGATCATCCTGATGTCTTTTAATTTCACTTTGGAAAACTGGATTGTGGAAGGTTAGCTGTGATCACATGCAGGTTATAGTGCATTAACTTTTTAATCCTATTATATGTGTTCATAAAATATTTTCATCTCTTTGAAGGATCTAATTGACATATCTGTGCAGCAGAACTGTATGAAAATCTGAAATACCCATGCTAGTGCCAGTTGGTTACTTCTCGTTATTATAGGCAAAATGATGGTCAAGGTGTAATTAAAACTGCTTCATAGTTTTTATTATCAACATTCATTTTTAGTTGCTTATAAGATTTTCCAAGTTGTACCATACAATTTTAATAAGAAACACTTTTGAAAATAAAATTGGCAATACTACAGTCAAAACAACCTAATTTAAAGCAAATCATGGAATCATTCTAGTTCGATGTCCTTGTTAAAACACATTTAAAAGCATGATGGTAGCTTAATGTGATAAATGAAGTGATTTTGTCCTAATACAAGAGACCTCATTACAAATGAACTTTTAAAAGTAGTTAATTTCCATGGATTGACAACATAATAAGGATGTGGGTCATGGTTCCAGCAGAAGCTAGATGCAGAAGCTAGTCCTTTCTTTGATCTGCTAGGTTTCCTTAGGGAAAAGTTCAGTGGTTGAGGAGTCAGCCAACACACCTTTTTAGTTATAGTTCCAGCTTTTTCATCTGTTTGGTGTTAATTTTATTTTTTGGCTTAGTTCTATTTTCTCTGCATAGTCTGGCTTCTCTATAACAGCAAACACATGCAGTAATCTGCCTGTATCTAATGTTTGTTTTACTGAAAGTGCAGAGTAAAAAGCAATGAAACTGTTCACGGAAGAAGCAAGAGGATTTTGAGAGGAAGGTATCAACTGAGAATAACTGAGGTTGTGTTTCACTTATGTTGTGAAAAAATGACACTGTGTCACTTCTTTCTGTTACCTACAACTTCCTATTTTCTTTTCCTTGTGTTTTATACCATAAGATTAGATGGAGTTCCATGGCTTAGATCTGGGACCAACCAGGTCATACCCACTGTCTTAGGTAGGAGTAATGCAAAACTGGGGGTAAAATAGGAACACGCATAGCGTGCAGCACTGCGTTAGGAAGGTAGCTAGTGGCTGCCTAATGTAGGGCTCACTTGCCCAAGGCTACATCTACTTATTCAACCTTCTTTTGTCTCTTCAATCCAGATACTGAATTGATTCATGCAAAAAGCTAAACAGACTAGAAAACTTATGTCTAGTGATGGACTCTTGACAAGCCTCAAGAGGTACTCTTCATATATGCACTAAGGATGAAAACAGCATAGTGAATGCCTTTGAATAACTGAAGTTTTTGTCTGGAGATGGGAAGAAGTTTCCTCATGTAGCTATTGATACTAAAGTTGTGATCTCTGCCTTCAGCTATATTATGTCACTATAAGATGATTGGGAGGTTGCACAACTTTCTTTTCAAAGTGTAGGGTAAGGAAGCCTATTCTCATCAAATGATAAATATTATTCTTTTAACCTTACTCTTATCTCCAGCAAATTTATTAGGGTCACAGTGCATATACGTAGCTGTGCTGACCATACTGACTGGCATGAATATGCTGCTTCTCACAGGCAGAACTAGAGATGAGGACTGATTTCTTGTATTCCTTCATGTATAGCACAAAAGTGGGGAATCACAGGTAAAAAGTATATGTTGATTGAGTCATGATGACAGCTGCTGAACTGGAAGAGGTTTGCATCAAAGCTCTGAGCCTTATGATTTTTGGTGCATCTTCAAAAAGGATGAACATCACTACATATAAAAAACTTTCTGGTTTCAAGCTAAAGCACTGAAATGTATGTCAAGGTCTCTGTTTTGTTGTTTTTCTGTGTATGTGTGCAGAATGACTGCTACAATGACATAATCACTGTTTTGCATGATGGCTGTATGATTCAATATGCAGAATGGACAACAAATGGCGTAAGGATTTTGAGAAGGTCTCTTTTTACAGTTAGGCTAGCATCTAGGAAAGCTGAATGACTTTCCTTTTTCTGACAGATTTGGATGGGATGTCAAAGGGCAAAAGAAAAGGATGTGTACATTAGCACTGACTAAAAGATTCCATAAGCCAGCCTAAGTTTGGTATCACATAGCTTTTAAGTAACTGATGCTGCAATAATGTTCATCTAGTATGTGTAAAAGTTGCTGGGTTGCTAGTTAATGGCAGATTTTGCATCTAAAATATGGGATGAATTTCAGCTGAAGGAAACCATAAGGAATATGGTTTAATATGTTTTGGAATAAATTAGAACCACAGAGTTAAAATGGCTTTCTAGTGCAAATTCTGATTGGTTTTAATGTTAGGTTATTGTTTTCACTTTCTCTTTCTGTTTTACAGTGTTATATGGGAACCAATGGGAGACGGTAAAAAGATTATTTCGCTGGCTGATAATAACATACTATTGTGGGATTTGCAGGAAAGTTCAGCCAAAGCTGTGGTAAGACATTTTTTTTAATAAATCATGATATACTTGAATATAGTACAAACAGCATTCCCTAGCCTAGAATTTGCTAATCTTTTAACTACTCAGAAATGCCTTGTTGCCATTAATGTGGGTGGGGGAATGAATACTCAGTCGGTTGTCTTGAATACGAGTGTTTAAGAGTAGGCAACTTGGTGGTTTTGGATCTGTTGCTAGTGGTTAAATATTTTCCTTATTCTAGAGTTGCCATTACTTTCCTACTGGTTTTGCGGTGAATAATCTAAACTAAAGCAATGCTAATTTGATAAATGTGTACGAGAGAAAAATTGGTGATCAGTAAAGCCAAAGATTATTGAATTCAGATAATAGTATATTAACTCATGTTGGTTAATACCATGCAGCCCTCTATTTAATTGATAACCCTTGTTGTATGTATATATGTCTCTCTTTACCGTGAACTGCTTTGAGTCCTCGGTATTAATTCAATCTAGTACCATACTGTCTATTCAGATTATTACACTCATTATTAGAACCGTCTTATTCAGAAACATATATAAAAAGGTGCCATTGCCATAGATTTCTATCTGATTATGCTACCTCTTATAGACAAACAAGTCTTATTTAGGTGTAATGACATAGATTACATATAGAAAACTTTGAATGTTTCTGGATAGAGTCATTTAGGTCAGTGTCTGTCCTTAAAAATGGAAACTGATTATGTCAAGGACATTATTATTCAGTTGATCTGTTGGTGCTTCTTGAATTAACTCCTCAGTTTGAGTTGTTCAGGGTTAGTTTCTTTTCTTGGATGCTACAGAATCAGATTTTTCATTTGGCAAATGCTTAAAGAGTCAAGACGTTGTGTCTATAAACTCTTCCCTGTCGTACCATCTGACAGTGTGCAAATAGATGAAGTATGGAGTTACTATTTTGCTAGATTTTGTGTAGTATCAACACAATGTAATATAGTTTAATCCTTTATGTTCATAATTAAGCCCTTTGAGTTCCTTCACTACATGAGGAAACTTCAGGGTTTTTTTCACCTGGAACGTCAATCAGTGAAGTTTTGTTTTTTTTTTTATTACCTTCCAAGGCTTCTTCAGCGTAGTGTTTATTTTTATCAAACTGATGTTGAGAGTTTGTGAAGGCTGGCCTCCAGGAGCTTGTCTGTAGCATTGTATCCGCTGGATTTGCATTAATCTTATGTTAGTATTTCTTTTCTAATGCCGGCATAACACACAGACTTTTTTGGAATGCCTTCTTTAAACCTGTGAAAAACTACCTTTTGGGGGTAGTTCTGCTTCCATGCTATGGGTCTTCATGTCTCTTTGAAGTGCTGGGACTACCAGACTACTTAGCATTTTCCCTTTCTTCTTTCTTTGGGCAGCACTGTCCTCTCTTGCTAAAGTTCTTTTGAATAGTTTTTTCACTGTCCCAGCCACTTTCTCGTAAGTGTTTCAAATTTCTTCCTTATCCTAATCTCTCTGAAATATTATTTCCTTTGGGAGGCTGTCTAGTGTGTTACCAGTCTCTCTATGTGTGGGAATCTGATAATGAATGGCCAATACTCCCCTCCCCCCCCGCCCTTTTATTTTTCTTGGGATTTATTTACTAAAATTTTGCATGTTGTGTCTTCCTTTTCCTTTCCTGAAAACTACCTCCCTCATTCTGTCACTCAAATATTTGTGAATATAACTATGATTTCCATTTTCTTTTCCTTCCATTGCTAGAATTGGATCTGCATAGTTTTGGAGAGGGCTAGACTCTTCAATAAGCTGTATAATTTCAGCATGATTTGGGAAATCAGTGTTTCTGTTCTCCAAGCACTATTCAGCTTGCTGATCCCTTCAGTATTTCAATTAGTGTTCCTTACTTAGAATATCTTTTTTTTTTTTTTCTATTACTTTTAAAATATGCCTGTACTGGATCAAATATTGATGGCAAAATAAGGACTCCAGAAGGCAAAGTGATAGATGAACTAAGGGGATTTAACCTGTGACATTTGTTATATGCTTATATCGGATAAGAGGAAATAAGAAAAACAAAAAGTGAAATTCTGCATCAAAAAACCTGCTTCATCTAATGAAGCTAAGACTATGAAAGTAGGTAGATCAACTTTGACTGACATCTTCAGGTAGGAGCATTTTGAAATGTCTGTTAAAAACCTTAGTTTGCAGAAGTTAGGAGTGTCATTTAGATTTTACACTCAGGCTCTCAGGAGACCTGATGTAGAATTTGACTGATCCTCTATATTTCTGTTTATGATCATCTAGTATCTCATCTGAGTGCACTCTAAATTAGAACTGCTTGTGATTAAAATTTTACCTGGAAATAACTGTTTACCGTTATCAGTCTTCTCCCCCCATCAATTTTGAGTTACTTTTAGATGATAGTGGCTTCATCACTGCGTCAATGACCACTTTTAACGTGAGGTTTATTAGTGTAAGTCTATGGAAACTTGAGTCTAAGAAAACGCATTTCCAGGCATCTAAATCTTAAGCCAGGTGAATCTTTTCTAAGATGATTTATATTGTTGTATTGCTGTTGATTTTTCATCTGCAACAGATTTGTCTCAAACATGTCTGTGGGCTCCTGAGTTAACCAGAGTCCAGATGAACAAGATTCTGTAGAAAGAATGAGCATCTCTTTAAAATGCCTACCATAGACTTTCTAGTAATTAAAATGATGGCAACCTAAAGTCCAGAATCACAGGCTTTTTCAGGCCTAGAATCAACTGCTGTGTATTTCTGAAATCTTTGAAGATTACCTCTTTCCTAAGAGGTTAACTCCCTGTTAGAATCTGTGGAAGGTTGAAAAACTGTAACTGTTATTCTGTGGCAATTTTATATTTACAAAAAATTACATAGGACTGACAGTTACAGGGAGGAATGAGGAAAAATAAGAAATGTTGCATTACTGAGGTGGCTTTCTGTTTAAAAAACAAGCAAAACCAAAAAATTAACACCCCACCCTATCTTTTGCTGCTGTAGTATATAGAATGTGAGAGAGAAATCTGTGAGAACAAGTTGGTTAGAAGACAGATGGCATTGGTAGGGGTAAACAATAAATATGTTTTCCATTTGGTTATCATCATCTACAAGGAGTGTTTGTAGGCCAATAACCTGTGGGTGAAATAGCGATTTCTTTTTGTGTATATCCTGTTTGTAAGGGATCGTTGAATGCCAAATATGTTGTAACCTTAAAAAACATATGATTTATATTTTAATGCCTTTTGGTCAGAATGCAAAACCACACTTTTCTGGGATACTAATAAAAAGAGGGTTTGGGGCCTTGAAAACAGGTACAGAACAGCCTACAGTAAAAAAAAAAAAAAAATCAACTCTTACCAGCATTAAAAAGGGGGGCATGTATTTAAAAAAAAAAAAAAGGAGGCAGGGAGGCTCTGAACAGGAACCGTAGAAACCATTCACAGGTCCTCTGGAGGTGATAGCTGATCATACAAGGAGTCACTTGGAGCCATGTTGCCAGGAAGTCCACATTTGGTTTATATGCAGATAAATAGGGAGATTATTTTAAAAATAAGAAACATTATGTTTATTGTTCATTAGAATAAAAGGTTGCCCATTTTTGGCATGTCTTATGATCTAACATGCTGTTTCATTCTAGCAGACAGTGACAAAGCAGTAAGTAGCCAGTAAACTTATATATTCTGTAGGGACTTTTGAAGGGAAAAAATCTTTATAAAATATTCCCGTTATATTGACTCGTAAGTGAAATAACCATGTACATGTGTGTGTACGTTATTCTAACTGAATAAATCAATAGTCTAGAATTAAGATAATACGAATGTCAATGCGTTTGAATCTTTTCCCTTTTTTTCAAAAGCATGATGATATTCCAGTTGAATGACATCATCATAATTAACTGAAAGTAGGATCTGGTCCACTGTATCTGTATCAGGTAATAGAAGTAAAGAGGTATTCAGTACACTGGTGCAGCACTGGTCTTCCTGTTTTGAGAACGTTTCAGTTGTTTCCTTTTTGGATAGGTATGCATTATAGGTAAAATTAATTTTGATGGCAAGAGGTAAACCGAATGCTACTCATTATGGACTTTTTAAGTTTGTGAAAAAGTTGATCTAAAACTCAAGTGTAGTATCGATGAAAACCTGAAAATGTACATGTCTGCATAGGCCAAAATTTCTGCTTGCCTATACTGATCAAAACTTTAGTCTTTTATTGGGTGCATCTCCTCTGTCTGCCTGGGAGTTACAAGTCACATTGTCTACTTAGAATTAGCCTGAAGAATTTTACGGTTCCTGATATTTTCAGAACTTCTTTGTAATAAAATGACTTGTGTGTTCATTCTCTGAATTATCTGGGCAACCTGTCATAGGAAACATTTAACCTTAATAGTTAACCACAACTTACTATTCTGTTCTGTGGGTTTGGGGTGTTTTTTTCCCTTTCAACATTTTTTGCTAACTTGTTTCTTCATTACAGTATTTAATGTGGGAATATTTGCCTGTATTTGCATTAAGACAAGCTTCTCCTGTCCTTTTGATCACTCCCTTTATTATTGTTTTGAGGACATTACCTTCTGGGGTGAAACTAATCTTAAACTCACTGCATCATTACCTTTTGCAATTAAATTAGCTATTCTTTGCCATTTATAATCATTAGCTGAACCCAAGAGAAGCCCAACTAATCGACAA